TGACTACGATGAGATAGATGCTCGCCAGCTAGGAGCCATTAATGTTCATGTGCTAAAAATGCATCTGTAAAAGTTTTATTTGTAGATGCATGGATAGTGTGGAATTTTCGCTGGAATGTTGCTGGCTACTGGATGCATACGGGGCTGGTATAATTCGAAAATTGAAGCGAAAATCCCAGGGACACCGTCTGCGGCAAGCGATTTTGAACGAATTTCGTGACATCTCAAATGGTGTGAAAATTTTCACGAAACCTCCATCACCGTCACGTCAACGACGCCTCCGATCACGCTCCGAAGCAGGTAATTCTCTGATCGATTTTTTTTATATTATGACAAAAAGAGGCTGGCGTAAAGTTATGCGAAAAATAAGTGCATTTTAAGTTCTTAACATTACTTGCATGCTACAGTTATGCTACAGTCAGCTTAGTTATGTCGATGGATTCATGCATCAGTATGAAGAGTTATGCTGGTTGAAGTGATTTTCCTAGTATCGGATAAAAATAGGATGAGCTTTGGAGCGAATGAGTACAGGTAATGAAAAAGAATGAGGGAATTTTGAGGGAGAAGAATAACGAAATTTTGTGGTACTGGGTGAGAAATTAAGTGCAAGTTATATTTGGCGGTAATGGAAAAAAATGAATGGTCATGAGCATTGTACATTAGCGAAAATAGCGAAAATATGATTGATTGACAGTGTGGTTAACAGTCAGTAGCGACCAGAACTGATTAGATTTCCGCGAAATTTTCTTTGCCTCCTTTTAATCCGCGATAAAAAAGCTTGCCAAGTTACTTGAAAGCACAAATACACTTAAGCGTGATCAGACTTTAGTCGTTTCGAGATGCTCTTAGTGTGTTAAGAGTTGTTAGCTCATCTAGAACTGTTGGGCCATGATGGGGTATCGTGCAGAGGACACCAGTCAAAATCCGCATTGTCTATCTGTTTTCTCTCATTCTTGCCATATGACCAGCTCAGCTATTCTGATTTACATTGATTCATTAATTCATCTGATTAACTGTTTGGCCGAAAATCATTTAAAATACAAACAGGTCTTTGCATTTCAGTTCTTCCAGTTGCCGGTGGCAGCAAATTGCAGCAGCAAGCGGATCCAAGGAATA